CAGCAAAGACATTGGGCATCTTCTTAAGGCTCCCTTTTGTATTCATCACAGCACAGGTAAGCAGCAACTCCATCGAGGGTTTAGGGTTTAGGGTTTAGGGTTTAGGGTTTAGGGTTTAGAGTAAACCCTCAACAACCCCTTCCTCCGTTCATTTGCTGCAGCTAGAATGCCACTGCTGCTGCTGCTGCTGTTGCTGCTGCTGCTGCTGTTTCTACTGCTGCTGCTACTGCCGTTACTGCTTTTGCTGCTGCTGCTGCTACTGCTGCTGCTGCTCCTGTTGCTGCTGTTCCTGCTGCTGCTTCTGCTCTCCTTACTACTGCTGCTCTTCCTGCTGCTACTGCTGCTGCTGCTGCTGCTGCTGCTGCTGCTGCTGCTGCTGCTGCTGCAGGTCGTGTGTGTGTGCCGATTGATTTGGCGGAGTTGGATGACTTCGATCCGCTGCGGGTCCCCACGCTCAGTAAACCCTAAACCCTAAACCCTAAACCCTAAACCCTCAAAAATTCTAAACCCTCAAAAACCCTAAATAAACCCTTTGTTTGTTTGTTATTATATTATTATTACTATTACTATTTTATTATTTATTTTGTTTTTTATTTATTTTGTTTATTTTATTTATTTTATTTATTTATTTATTTTATTTATTTTATTTATTTTATTTATTTTATTTATTTTATTTATTTTATTTATTTTATTTATTTATTGAGCGAATAAATTATTTATTAAATTAAAACTGAATGAATAAACAAATTAAATAAAAATAATTAAAAAATAAAATAAATTATATAAAACAAAATAACTAAATAAACAAAATAAATAAAACAATAAATTATACATAAAACAAAACAAATAAATAAATAAGTAAATAAACCAATAAATTATATAAAAAACAAAACAAATAAATAAATAAATAAATAAATAAAATAAAAAATAAATTTATTTATTTAATTTTATCTACCTGTTGAGATCATATAATTTTACGGCGCAGTCGTCGCCGCCAGTAGCCATAAATCCACCTAAAAATAAAAATAAATAAAATAAATAAAATAAATAAAGTAAATAAAAAAAAAAATAAATAAAATAAATAAAATAAATAAAATAAATAAAATAAATAAAATAAAGTAAAACAAATAGAAGAAAGTAAAATAAATTAAATTAAATTAAATAAGAATAAAATAAAATAAATCAAAATCAATTAAAATAAATAAAAACAAATTAAAACAAAATAAAATAAAATAAATAGAACAAAATAAAATAAATTAAATTAAATTAAAAAAAAAAGTAAAACAATTTATTTTTTTTTCTTTTTACCCTCTCTATGAATACTGCAGCGCCAATTCGTTTTATCATTAAATATAATAAAAATAATATACAAATAAAATTATAAAAATTAAAAAAATAAAAAAAATAAAAAATAATAATATATATACAAATAGAAAAAACAACACAAATAAAAGAATAATAAAATAATAAAATAATAAAAATATTAAAATACAAAAAACAATAAACTAAAACTAATAAAACAATAAAAATAAAAAAAACAAAAATAATAAAAATAAAAAAATAAAAATTATAATTTTATTATACAACAGCTGCAAATGGTTTATTATTTTCATAATAAAAACAAAAACAAAAACAAAAACAACAAAAATTATAATAATTATTATATTTATATTTATTTATATTTCTTCCTTTTTGTTTATTTTTTTTTATTCATTTTTCTTTAATTTTTCTTTTTTTTGCATATATTTATATGAATACGAATAAATATGTCTCCGGTTTTTTTTTTTTTTTTTTTTTTTTTTTTTTTTTTTTTTTTTTTTTTTTTTTTT